TATATATTATATGCAGCTGCAGATACACATTAAAAATATTTGTGCTATATGAAGCAAGCAAACAGCAAAATAAATAAAGAAGAAGGAGACAGAAAAACAAAGAGTATCTGTCTATACACCGCAATATATATATATATATATACATATATATATATGTATATATATATACATATATATATATACATATATATATATATATATGTATAGCAACATAAGTGTGTCTTTGTTTATTGAATAACTGTTTTGTGTTTTGATTAAAAAATTAATTTAATTTAAATAGACTTACTAATACATACACCGTATTGATATACAGCACAAGAAGCATAAGAAATAAGACAGGCAGACAGCGCAGCCACTCGCAAGATCTTGAAGGGGTTTTAAAAGAAAAATATTTATGTTTTGCTGCTTCTATACTATCTTCTAGAGCTTGTCTCTCTGGTTTTCTTAATAGTCGTATTGCTGTAGGGGGAGAAGAAGGTCTTAGTGAAGTGCGAGGCCGTCGTGCTGCTGCTGCTGCTGCTGCTTCTGCTGCTGCTGCTGGTTCTCCTGCTGCTGCTGCTGCTGGCTCTCCTGAGCATTCTATGGGGGCTGCACCTTCTCGCTCTTCTGCTGCTGCTGCTGCTGCTGCTGTTCCAAGCAATGCATGTCGTTCATTGTCGTCTCCGGCTACAGATTCTTCTTCTTCTTCGGCTGCTGCTGCTGCTGCTGCTGCTGCAACGGTTGCTGCTGCCCTCTCTGCAGCAGAAGGTGGACTCTTCTCATCCTTCATGATCTCTACCTCCTCTCCTGCTGCTGCTACTACTACTACTACTGCAACTACTACTGCTACTGCTGCTGCTGCTGCTGCTGCTGCTGCTGCTGCTGCTCTACAGCAGCAGCAGGGGCCTGGCCTGGGAGCACCCGCTGTTCTGTGTGCAGCAAAACGAGTGAAACGCAGCAGGAAGAAGCAGCAGCAATTGATGTTTTATTGAATTCTTTGTCTTAGTTGTTTATTTGTTTCTTTTTCAAAGAGAAGACATACAAATATACTCACAAATATATTTACTCGCACTCTACTCCGGCCGCCTCTGAGCTCTACAGCTAAGAGCTGAGTTTCTTGATGCTTCTAGCGATTATAAATAACTCTTTTGAACAAAAATGTGCAGTTCAATACTTAAAAAGCTCTTTAAAGTAACCGTTCCCGCACCCGCTGCTGCTGCTGCTGCTGCTGCTGCTGCTGCTGCTGCTGGCTCTCCCTCTTTGCTGCTGCGCCGACGACCGCTGGTCTTCGTTTTAATTTTGCTGATTGAAGCTTAAATGTGTTTTTTATTTAATTTATTTTGTTTTTAATTAAATATTTATACTTCCTTTTGCCGTTTTAATCCACACAGCAAATGCAGCAGCAGCAGCAGCAACAACAGCAGCAACTGCTGCTGCTGCTGCTTTAGAGAGACCATAGACAGACCAGCAGATCTCCTCAGATCTTCTGCTGATGCAAACGTGCAAAAATATATTTGTTTTATATTTAAATTAATTTATTTTAATCTTTAAAACAATAAAGAATTATATTTTACCTATTTTTTCTTTTTTTGCTGCTGCGGTGTCAGCAGACAGCGCAGCCCTCCAGCGGTCAATAGAAAATAAACAAAGTGCTTGAATATAACATGTATAAATATATAAATATATGCATATATACAATATATACTATATATAATATATACAATATATAATATATATGATATATATAATATATATTGTATATATTGTCTGTATTATAAAACGAAGCACATTAATATTAATATGTCAATATATCAATATATATACAAATAGATATATATATAATATATATATATATATATATATTATATAAAAATGATTTCGTAAGGGGTCTAGAATATATAAAGTATTTATCATATAAAATGTATATGCGTATAATATATATGCAATCTTCAAATAAAAATATATATACAACATATTATATACGTATGTGTATGTATATATACAATATAAAAAATATAAATAAACAAATACATACATATATATATATATACATATATATATATATATTATAGAGCATATAAGACTCATATTGAAGATAAACCCCTAAACCCTAAAGCCTAAAGCCTAAACCCTAAACATGTGTATCTTCTGCCTGCAGATTCGCTGCATGCAGGTCAGCCCCAAAATCATGCAGCAGCAGCAGCAGCAACAGCAACAGCACACATCTGTGCTGCAGTACTACAGCAACCTTCATCCGTACTAGACTAAACTACTGAATGTTTAGTGTACATACAAATGCATGCATGCATTTGCATGCATGCATTAGTATGCATGCATTTGAATGCATGCAAATATAACTTTGTGTTGATTTGTCTTCTTCGTTCTATTTATATTATTTGTCTGCCCTCTGCGTTTAAAGAGACGCCAAAACTCTTCATACGCAAACACGAAAAAGCATAGACATACAAATGCATGCAAAGGTATCGAAATGCATGCAAATGCATGCATTTAGATGCATGCATGCAAGTGCATGCAAATGCATGCATTTGGATGCATGCATGCAAATGCATGCAAATGCAAGCATTTAGGTGCATGCATGCAAATGCAACCATTTAGATGCATGCATGCAAATGCATGCATTTAGATGCATGCATTTGCATTGCATGCAAATGCATACGAACGCATGCATGCAAATTGCATGTATGCATGCAGCCCCGTGCATGCGTTTGTCAGTCACTGCGAAGCTCCCTCTGTGTGTAATGCATGCATGCAAAAGCATCAATAAGAGGTGCAGCAAACGCAACAAAAAGCCTGCATGCAATAAAGAAGAGGGCAGCAACAACAGCAGCAGCAGCAGCTGCTGCTGCTTGCATGCATGCATGCATGAATGCTGCTCGTTGTCCAGTAATAATATATATTTATCTGTTTTCACTTTAAACAACAATATGAAGCGCAACACAAAGCCAAGGAGAAAAACAAAATAAAGAAACAATTATGCATGCATGCATGCATGCATGCATGCATGCTCCCTATTTGCATTTATTTCTTGCCCTTCGCGCTGCTGCTGCTGCTGCTGCTGCTGCTCTTTCGCGGGCTGGCGCTCTTATTGCGCTTCGCAGCAGCAGCTGCTGCTGCTTTCTTCCCTGATTCCTGCTGCTGCTGCTGCTGCTTCTTAGGGCTGGCTTTTGAGGGCCCTGCTGCAGGCTTGCTGCTGCGTGGGGTTGTCTTGCTTCCCGCTGCGGCTGCCTGTTTCTTTTTGCTGCTGCTGCTGCTGCTGCTACGGGCAGCTGGGCTCTTGGCTTTAGGTGCTGCTGCAGCAGCACCAGCAGCAGACTTCGATGTCTTTGCATTTCTTGCAGTCTGTGCCTTCTTCTTCATGATTGTCTTCTTAGTTGTAGTGGGTTTCTTAGCAGCAGCAGCAGCAGCAGATGTGCTCTTACCCTTAGCCTTTGCTGCTGCTGTTGTAGCCTTGCTGCTCCTGCTGCTGCTGCTGCTCTTGCTGCTAGCAGCAGCTCCTCGTGGTGCTGTTTTCTTCCCTGGCTGTGCTGCCTCCGATGCGCGCGCTGCTGCAGTTTGAGGTGCTTTCTTCTTTGCTGCTGCTGCTGCTGTTGCTGCTGCTGCTGAGCGAGACTTCGGTGAAGCAGCAGCAGATGCCCCATCTGAAGCTTCTTCCTCTTGTGCATCTTCTGCCTCTTTGCTGCTGCTGCTGCTGCTGCTGCTTTCGCCTTCATGGTCGCTGTGACCCGATGAGGCCGCGGCAGCACCTGCTGCTGCTTCTTTTAGTGCTTCTGCTGCTTCTTTTGCTGCTGCTGCTGCTTCCTTCGCTGCTGCTGCTGCCTTCTGTGCAACAGCCACCTGACGAGCAGTGGAGGCCCTGCGGCCGGAGGCAGCAACGCGACTCTTCTTGCTGCTTGCTGCTGCTGCATCTGCAGCAGCAGCCTCACCTTCTTCTTCTGGCTGCTGCTGCTGCTGCTCCTCTTGAGCCTTTTCTTCTGCTGCCGCAGAACTCCTGCGTCTCTGCTGCCGCTTCGCAGCAGCAGGCTGCTCCTGCTGCTGCTGCTCCTGCTGCTGCTCCTCCTGATCTGCTGCCTCCCTCTCTTTTGTCTCTTCCTCGTCGAGGGCTGCTGATGGTCCCCCTGCAGCAGCTGCTGCTGTTGCTGCTGCTGCTGCTGCAGTTTCTGCTGCCGAAGCTGCTATATCTGCTGCACCAGCAGCATCACTGGCGGCAGCAGCAGCACTCTCAGCAGCAGCAGCAGCCGTCTCTGCGGCAGCAGAAGCCGCTGCTGCTGCAGTTGCCGCAGTTGCTGCTGCCTCCATCTTCTCACCACCGCGGTGCTGCTGCTCCTCTACTGCCATACCCTCCTCTGCTGCTGCTGCTGGCTGCTGCTCTTCTGCTGCAGTCTGCTGCTGCTCTGCTGCTGCACCCTCCAGGTGTGTTAGCACCTCCAGCGCTGCCTCTTCTCCCTCTGCAGCAGCAGCGAGCAGCAGCAACACGCCATGCAGCAGCAGCAGCAGCAGCAGTACGCGTCTAGGTAGAAGCAGCAACAGCAGAAACAGCAGCAGCAGAAGCAGCAGCAGCAGACTCACGTTTTGCTTTCTTTGCCGGCCTTGCTGCGTCTTCTGCTGCTTCCTCCTCAATCGAGCGCTTCTGCTGCTTCTCTGCTGCACCAGGTGTCTCCTCAGCAGCAGCAGCAACCAGCACTTCTCCATCACGCTGCTGCTGCTGCTGCTCCTGCTGCTGCTGCTCCGCGTACTTGCCGTCCCATACCAACGCCGCCGAGTGCTGCGCCCCACCGCATGCCTGCAGCAGCAACAGCAGCAGAAGCAGAAGCAACAGCAACACGGTGAGCGTCAGCAGGACAAGGAGACACAGCAGCAACACTTCTGCGTTCGTGCATGCGGCTAGAGCAGACCTTCCTTAACTACCGAAACAACCGTTAGCTAGGTAGCTAGCTAACGGTTGCTTAGCTAGCTAGCTAGCTAGCTGCCTAGCTAGCTAGCTAGCTATGGAGTGGCTGTTTGCACTGCTAAGTCCGTCCGCTGTCTGTGTCTGTTTTTGTATGAGCCGTTGCAGCAGCAGCAGCAGCAGCAGCAAGAGCATGCGCAGCAGCAGCAGCAACTGAAGATCATCTGTTGCTGCGAACCTGTAAGACAAATCTTTGGTTGAAGGTGTGGGGTGGGATCCTGGCGGGAGACGGGAGGAGCGTGGGATCGTCTCCCGTTCCCAGCTGATAGTTTTGCCCCGCACCCCACGCATAGAGACACCCGGACAGAGACACCGCAAGTGCATGATCGCTCCCCGATCCCACCCACCGGAATCGCACCCCACAACTCCCCTCACATAAAGGCAGCAACTGAGGATGTCCTGCTGCTACGCAGCGGCGAGATCCCCGACCTGCAGCAGCAGCAGCAGCAGCATCAGCAGCAACAGCATGTGGGAAGAAGCAGTAGGAGCAACAGCAGCGGCAACGGCAGCAGCAGCAACACCACCAGCAACAGAAGCAGCAACAGCAGCAGCATCACCAGCAGCTGCAGGACCATCACCACCAACCACCACCACTAGCAGCAGCAGCAGCAGCAGCAGCAGCAGCAGCAGCAGGAAGAACAGTACCTAGGAAGTTCTCTTGTCCCCAGGTGTATATTTTCCCGTCTGCTGTCAACGCCATACTGAAGAATTGCCCTCCACAAACAAAACGAAGAGCACCTTCATGCAGCAGCTGCACTCTTCTAAACTCACATACTACTGCTTCCTGCTGCTGCTGCTGCTGCTGCTGCTGCTGCTGTGGTTGCTGTGGAGAGGGCCACAGACCGAGCTCGCCCTGTGTGTTGCGTCCGCAGCCGAAGAGCAGTGTCTCTTTTGCTGCTGCTGCTGTTGTTGCTGTTGCTGCTGCTGCTGCTGCAACAAAAGTCGTGCAGCGCCCGCAGTAGACAGCTGTAAGGGCCTCAACCTGCACGGGCAGACACAGGCTGCAGCAGCAGCAACAGCAGCAACAGCAGCAGCAATCAGTAGAGGAGAAATATAAGAAATAAATGAATGCAGCAAGAGAGGCAGCTAAAGTAGGACAGCAGAGACAGGACAAAAGGAGACAGCAGCAGATGCACAAGTAAGAGGAGACTGCAGCAAAAATAAAATAAATAAATAAACAACAACCAAGATACACCTGAGCTTTACCTTTCAAGAGATCTCCTTGCTGGCCGCAGCAGTCTCCGTTTTTCTTCTATAGCTTCTTCCGTTGCTGCAGCAGCAGCTGCTGCTGCTGCTGTCGTTGTTGCTTCTCCGCTCGCGTCAAGCACTGCTGCAGCAGCAGCAGAAGCAGCAGCAGCAGCAGATCTCGTAGCTAGCTGTCCGAAGTCGTTGCTGCCCCACAGCCAAACAGCGCCGCCCCCTATCTCCAGTGCAGCTGTATGGTCTTCTCCACATGCCTGAAAGCAGCAGCAGCAGCAGCAGCAGCAGGTGGACGTGCAGCAGCAGCAGCACCAGGCGGAGATGAAGCAACGGGAGCGGGAGAGCAGCAGCAGCAGGAGGTACAGGTGCAGCAGCAGGACAGGAAGAGGAGCAGCAGAAGCAGCAGCAGAAGCAGCAGCAGCAGCAGCACGAGGGGGAGCAGCAGCAGCAAGAGCAAAAGGAGACATTTGATTGAGCAATCGAGATAAAATAAACAAAGAGATAAGAGGCCTAGAGGAGACAGCAGACGCACCACTGCTTTTATCTTTACTTTAGTCTTCAAACCCCTAAACACAGGTGTAGGCAGCAGCTGCTTCGCAGCAAGCGGAGCTTCACCAGCCCATGCAAACCCCAAAGGCCCAGCAGAATCCTGCAGCAGCAGCAGCAGCAGCAGCAGCAGCAACAGCAGCAAGGACGGTGCAGGAGGGTGTCTTAACGGGAATGCAAAGCGAAGATGCTGCAGCCATCACACCTACAAGCACTTCCTGCTGTTGCTAGTGCTGCTGCTGCTGCTGCTGCTGCTGCTGCTTGCTGCTGCTAGTGCTGCTGTTGCTGCTGCTGTTAGTGCTGCTGCTGCTGCTGCTGCAGCATTGATTTACCCTATAGGATCCGCACAGCAGCAACTCGCCCTCCTTTGTAAGGAAGGCAGTGTGCGAGTCGCCGCATGCAACAGCAGCAACATCAGTCAAATCCACAAAACCTGCAGCAGCAGCAGCAGCAGCAGCAGTAGAAACAGCAGCAGAAACGGCATCAAAAAGAATGCTGAGAAACTCCATCCGCTGCTCTACACAGCAGCAGCAGCAGCAGCAGCAACATCATCATCACCAGCAGCAACACCAACAGCAGAAGCAGCAACACCAGCAGCCGCAGCAACGCCAGCAGCAGCCGCAGCAACGCCAACAGCAGCAGCAGCACCACCACCAGCAGCAGCAGCAACACCAGCAGCAACACCAGCAGCAGCAGCAGCAGCAGCAGCAGCAATACCGGGTTCATTAGGAGGGGTATCCTTGCAATCTCTGCCGAGGGCCCCCTCATCGTTGCAGCCGAAGGAGCAGCAGCGATTATCAGCAAGCAGCAGCACAGTGTGCAGCGCTCCGGTGCAAACCTTCACCACCTGCATCTGCTGCTGCTGCTGCTGCTGCTGCTGCTGCAGAGGGATAAGGCGAGGGTGTATGACTTCTCCGCCTTCTTTCTCTGCATTTAAAAAAGCTATCTGCTCCATCTCCCCCGACCCAAACATATACAAAAAACCTGTAGGTTTGCTGCAGCTAGCTTCAGGAGACAGCAGCAGCTTCTTTGCTTCCTCCTCCTCCTGCTGCTGCTGCTGCACTAAATTCTTCAGCTCCTCCTGCTCCTCCTGCTCCTGCTGCTCCTGCTGCTTTTGCTGCTGCTGCTGCTGGGTCTGAAGATCACAAGAAGGCGGCGGAGTAAAGACAAACCCCTTTGGCTGCTGCTGCTGCTGCTGCTGCTGCTGCTCAGCTGAGGGGACGCTAAAGACGAACCCTCGTGGCTGCTGCTGCTGCTGCTGCTGCTGCTGCTGCTGGTCTGCGAGGGTGAAGGGCGTAGCATCGGTATTCAATATTGGTGTAAAGCCTGCGCTCTTCCGTGGGCCTCCAGCAGCAGCAGGAGCAGCAGGAGCAGCAGCAGCAGCAGCACCATCTGTAGAACCCCCTAAGAAGACAGAGGCCCCGCTGCTGCCCCTAGGAAATGATGATGTCTTTGCCGCATGCTGCAGCAGCAGCAAACACAATTCACAGCAGCAGCAGCAGCAGCAGCAAAATGCTAAGGACGCAATGCGGTACTTCGATTCTAACGCAACAGCTGCAGCAACAGCAGCAGCAACAGCAGCAACAGCAGCAGCAGCAGGCTGTCCTGCTGCACTTATTGCAAGTGAGAGCCAAAGGCAGCAGCAGATTATAATAACAAATTACTGAATATTATAATTTATTATAAGTAGATAAAACAAAACAACAAATAATCTCTATAAAAATAAAGTATATAATATATATACAAATAATATTTACAGATATATAACGGGTATAATTATATATAATAAAAAAAGCAAGAGAAAGCCTCAACATAAATAAAATATATTATATAAATAAGCATATATATTATGTATAATATTATATTATATAGAATGTATATAATAAATAATATTAATAAATAAATATATTTAGAGATAATAATAAAATATTTACTGTCTGTCCGTCTCTGCCCGTCTCGCAGCAGGGGCAGACATCGCACGAAGCTTCGTTGGATACTAAGCAAACGCTGCACTTCCAAGGCCCTGCTGCTGCTGCTGCTGCTGCTGCTGGGGCTGCTGCTGCTCCTGCTGCTGGGGCTGCTGTTGCTGCTGCTGCTGGGGATGGCGCTGGGGCCCCCGCGGCTGCAGCATCTGCTGCGCCGTCGGCGGCTGGGGGGCACTCTGCTGCTGCATTCGCAGCAAACGGCGCTGCTGCTGCTGCTGCTGCTGCTGCTGACCCGTTGGTGGGGCCGTCGTGGCCTAGGGAGTTGCTGCACTCCATCCTGCTGCTGCTGCTGCTGCTGCAGTGTTGCTGCTGCTGCTGCTGCTGCAGTGCTGCTGCTGCAGTTGCTGCAGTGCTGCTGCTGCTGCTGCTGCTGCTGCTGCCTTATGTGGTGCTGCTGCGTTCTGCTGCAGCAGCAAATGAAAGACAAAGACGCGCTGCTGAGGGCCCCCCGCGGCTGCGCCCCAGCCGTATGGGCTCCTTCGTAGGGATTTGCTGCTGGTGCTGCTGCTGCTGCTGCTGCTGCTGCTGCAGCAGAATTGAAAAGAATTGTGTGCGGTGTACGTACACCTCAGGGAATAGCAAACATCCATAAGAAAACCAGCGCCACGTAAAATACGCCAGGAAGCCCTTCTGGGTCGGTTGCTGCTGCTGCTGCTGCTGCTGCTGCTGCCCCGACTGCTGCTGCTGCTGCTGCTGCTGCTGCTGCTGCTGCTACTGCGGGGTGGGCAAAGTAATAGCAGAAGATTTAGGAGACAGCTGTAGAAAAGAAGTGCACAACATTTAAATATTTGAAATTTTGTGTTTATTAATTTTTGTTTTATGTTGCAGCTCCGGCAACACCTGAAGGCGACAACCCCCTAAACCCTAAACCCTAAACCCTAAACCCTAAACCCTAGGCCCCGCGTCTGCAGCTAGGGTTTAGGGTTTACGGTGTCTTCTACTTTATTTTTTGAATATAAAAGAAATATTTACTTTAATTTTAGGTGTATTGACAGCTGCTTATTTGTTTTTTGCTGCTGCTGTTTGTTTTTTCTTCTTTTCTGTGTTTGCTGCGGTGTACATCAGTATATAAGGCATTAAGCCGAGCTAGATATATATATTTAAATAAATATATATAAATATGAATATATATATATATATTTAAAAATAGATAGTAATGTATATTTATGCTCTTACTATAATGCATATATATATGTAATGCATAAGATGTTTATACACTGCAGCAGGAGCAGCAGCAGCAACAGCAGCAGCAGCAGGTTGCTGCTGTCTCTATATACGTATGCTGTAGCGGCAAGTTGTTCTCTCTTTTTTTTGTATTTGTTTAATGTTTGTCTGCATATTTTTTCATCTTCGTTTGTCTCTACTGTATTTGTTTATTTGTTGTCTTCAGCAGCCGCATCCTTAGTATTTGTTTGTTTTTTCTGTTTATCTTTATTGCCCTGGATTATTTGTTTGTCTTCGTTTACTTCTTTATCTTAGAGACAAAGAAGTAAAAAAAAGGGAGAGCAAGCGGTGTCTTTGCTGCTGCTGTTGCTGCTGCTGCTGCTGCTGCTGCTGTGCTGCTGCGGTGGTGCTGCTGCTGTTGCTGCTGTTGCTGCTGTGCTGCTGCTGCTGCTGCTGTTTTTGTTTATATTGCTGCTGCATACAGCCTGTAGTGTATTGTTGCGTCTGTTTATTATATTCAATTTATTTGCTTCTCTTTATTTTATTGTTATTTATTTTGTCTCCGTTTGTTTATTTGTTGTTTTATTCATTTGCTCGATTTGGGTGTATCTTCTACCCTTCTTTGTTTCTTCTGCTGCATTATATATATATATATATTTATTTATTTATTTATTTATTTATTTGATTTATTTGCATATTAATTCTTTTTAATTTGAGGTGTATGTACACCTTGGCTTTATTTTACGAAGTGCCGATACACCTGGAAACCCGAGCACTCTGCTTCAATTGTATATATATATATATGTAAATTTATTTGTTTATTCTGTATACTTTAATATATATTATATTTATAGATGACTATATATATAAACAGAGAGAGAGGGAGAGAGAGGGAGAAAGAGATACGCATGCATATATATATATATATATATATACATATATATATATATATATATATACATATATACTTACATATATATATATATATTTGCTAATACACTTATTTAGTATGTAAATAAATATAGATGTTTAATTATAGAGAGACAGAAACACGAGAACCACCATCATATTAAACAATCAGCTGTACGTACACCGCAGCGCGTAGACCCCTGCATGCCCTAGAATGTTGCTGCTGCTGCTGCTGCTGTTGCTGCGGCAGCGGCTGCAGATTGCTGCTGCTATCCAGACACGAGCAGCAAGCAAGACACAACCTGAGCTGCAGCAAGAACGAACAACAACCTGTGGGCTAGCTACAGTTAGCCAGCTAACTGTAGCTAGCTAGCAGCTAGCTAGCTGCCTCGGAGGTATGCATGCAAGTATATATACAAGTATATACCGTTGCAATTAGCAGGTGCTGCTCCTCGCTTAGCTGCTATAGCTAGCTATAGCTACCTACAACTAGCCGCAGCTAGCTACAGCTGGCTAGAGCTAGCCAGGAGCTAGCTATAGCTAGCTGTAATTCTCTATAGCTAGCTATAACTTGCTATAGCTAGCTATAGCAAGCCAGGAGCCAGCTTGGGCTAGCAATAACCCGCTATAGCTAGCTACAGCTAGCTACTCCCTAGCTATAGCTAGCTACAGCTAGCTACACCCTAGCTACAGCTAGCTACAGCTAGCTACAGCTGGCTACAGCTATCCACACTCATTTGACTTTCATTGCTGCACCAAAAAAACAAAAAAATAAAATCGCAGGTCCGTCAAAAACCCTATTAAAATGCCTCCACCAGAAGAAGCAGCAGCTGCAGCAGCTGCAGCAGCTGCGGCAGCAGCAGCAGCAGCAGCAGCATCTACTGATGCTACTGCTGGTGGTGGTGATGCTGCCTCTGCTGCTGCTGCTTCTTCTGCTGCCGTTGCTATCGACCAACTGGGGAGGCGCTCTGGCGCCCTCAGCTGCAGCATCAGCAAGCTGCTTCTGCATGCGGCAGCTCTGGCTCTTGCTGCTTCTCCTGCTGCTGCTGCTGCTGCTGTTGCTGCATGTCAGGAAGCAAGACGCCCGGTCGTGAAGCGGAGGAGCGAGACAGCAGCAAAAGAAGCTGCTGCTTTGCCCTGCAGTCTTCTACTTGCTCTGCCAACTCCTGCAACAGCAGCAGAAGCAGCAGCAGCTCGATAAACAGCAGCAGCAGCAGCAGCAGCTCGGTCAGCAGCTGGAGCAGCTAGAAAGATAGCAGCAGCATTTCCATCAGCAGCAGCAGCAGCAGCAGCTCAATCAGCGGCAGTAGCAGCAGCAGCAGCAGCAGCTCAATCAGTAGCAGCAGCAGCAGCAGCAGCAGCTCAATCAGTAACAGCAGCAGCAGCAGCAGCAGCTCAATCAGCAGCAGCAGCAGCAGCTCAATCAGCAGCAGCAGCAGAGAGTGATAGTAGTAATGCACCTCCACCTTCTCTAGCAAAAGCAGCAGCCGTTTGGTTTCTTCCTGATGACTCAACAGCTGCTGCCGCTCCTTTAGCAGCCTGAAACCCCACAGCAGCAGCAGCAGCAGCAGCAGCAGTAGCAGCAACAGCAGCAGCAGCACTGTTATTTGTTTTGTTGGTTTGCCTATGAGTGAATGTCATTCTTGCATTTATTTGTTTATTATTTATTATTTATTATTTATTATTTATTATTTATTATTTATTATTTATTATTTATTATTTATTAAATATAATGTACTGAAGACATACAGCTGCTGCATGCTTTTTTCTATTTCTAAGACATCGGATTTATATCGATAAACTGCAGCAGCAAAATCCCCCAACACTGAAATACAAAACGGACACGTAGATCGCTGCTGCAGCTGCTGCAGCTCCTGCTGCTGCTGCAGCTGCTGCAGCTCCTCCTGCTGCTGCAGCTGCTGCAGCTCCTCCTGCTGCTGCAGCTGCTTCAGCTCCTGCTGCTGCTGCAGCTGCTGCAGCTGTTGCAGCTGCTGCAACGGCTGCTCCTGCTGCGGCTGCTGCTGCAGTTCCTGCTGCTCCTGATGCAGCGGCTGCTGTTGCTGCTGAGGCTGCTGCTGCTGCTGAGGCTGCTGCTGCTGAGGCGGCGGCGCCTGCTGCAGCTGCTGATCATGCTGCTGCTGCTG